AGTGCGTGGGTGTTGGCCAACAGAGCTCATGGCTGGCACAGTGATTTTGTACAGGAGATTTTAGATGTCCTAAAATTGTCTATTTTTGCTGACTTTATGACCATTTCTCTGTAACTTTACTTTTACCTTTTATATTAACATAAAGATGCATCAGAACCACAGGGACTTTAGATACAGTGGACCCCTGACTTACAAACTCAATCCGTTCCCGAGGACTGGTTGTAACTCAAGTTGGTCGATGAAGGCTCAGGCTCCTACACAGTCTTCACAGTCTCTCCTGTACACAGGCAGATCTCAGTGTCCTTAGAGAGACATTGGGCCAGGATTTCTCAGTGAACCCCACACAGGAAAGGAGGGTGTCATCATCCTTCCAGAACTCTCTAAGGGTTAAATCTGTATCTGAGACCATCTGGAAGCACAAGCGGCCAGCATTCAGGTTGTAATTCAAGACTTTGGTCGTTAAGTTAAAACTAAATTGTAACCCAAGTTGTTCCCATGTCAGGCTCGTTGTAACTTGAAGGCCCACTGTAATTTGGAAGAGTGTAAAGTAAAAATGTGCTAAATAAAATCATGTATTTTCATAAAAGATGGCAGCTCAAAAAATGCAAGGAATAAAGGTTTCTCAGTTTGAGTGACGTGATCTATGTTGAAATATCTGCCTCAGAATGAGCAGTAAACTGAGTTCGTGATTAGAGCTAGAATGTTTTCTTTTCATTATCAATGCCAAAAATGTAACTTGGAAAGAAATGAGCTTACTGTCAGAAATCTACCCTGTGTGCAGTAATATCTATGTATATATGACTTTTTTCTCTTTTATTCAGCCTAAAGTAGAAGATACTAGAACTTCACGCAATTATGATTCATTTGTAGTTTCCTTCAGATATTTTCCAAAATTTATCTCAGGCGTCTCTTAATCATGGCCATTTGATTGAGCAGATAGGGTCTTATCCACTCATAGCATCCTCCTCTGAGGTGTTAGCTCGTCTCTCTCTGTGTGTGGCAGCACAGACTGAAAAACTTCAGTGCTGAATCAAAGGAGGCTGGGACATGATGGCAAAGGCTTCAGGGAGGCTTTGCATGGAGGGGACTTTCAGTCTGGGTCTTGATGGGTGCGTAGGAGCTCTAAGGAGAGGGTGTGAGCAGCACACGGGGTCTCAGGCCGGGCCTCCTCTTCTGGCCCCGTGGCCTGTGTGTGAAAACCGCTCTGCAGAGGCCCGGCCCTGGACAGGCCGTCGGGGCTGGGGAGAAGAGTGCATTCCCGAGCCCACAGATCAGGGAGCCAGAGACGCAGGACCAGGCTGGCCCGAGCAGAGGCGGAGGTCAGCGGGCTCCCAGTGCCCCGAGACTGAGAGGGCGGTGGCGGGCGGCGGGAGGGGGTGTCCTCTCGGGGAAACTGAGGCAGGAGGACGGCATTTGTCAGGCCCGAGCGCCAGGGAGGCAGGAGGAGGCGGTGAGGAGTCCCGGCCTCGGTCCTGCCCTTGGCCCGGGCCAGAGTGGGCTCCGCCTGGCCCCGCTGTGTGGTCGCAGCCTCCTCTGGCCCAGTCCCGCCCTTGGCCCAACACAAGGGAAGGGCGAGCTCGGTCCTGTGTTCGCGTCCTGTCCACACCCTCAGGCTGACGGTGGCGGCGCCCGACCGCGGTCCTGGGGTGACAGCCGCTGTGTCCTCTCCTGACTGAGCCTCTCCTTCCAGGCAGAGTCCGTCAGTCGCAAAGACAGTGCTGCCCGCAGGCGGAAGTGCTCAGACCTCTGCCCTCAGCCCCTTTTAAGCCTCTGGCACTGACGCGTCCTGTGGCTCCAGGAGGTGTTGCGCTAGGGCTCCCGGAGCTGCCCGGCCGCGCTGCCTGGCAGAAGCTCGGCCAGGCCAGGGGCACCGCAGACACTGGGTCCTGGGCCCGCGATCGGCCCCCAGCTCCCCCCACTCTCTCGGCACCCATTGCCTGGCCACACCCCACACAGCACCCAAGTCAGAGGCTGGGAGCAGTGCGGCTCCCACAGAAGTCCCATCATTAGGTCCTCCCAAGCCATCAGACTGACAGCCTCATGTCACGTCTCAGCAGGGAAACCGGCTCTGGGGGTCGGGCAGGAAGACCTCAGCCTTGATCCTGGGCAGGTGACAGTGGGGACATTCTCATCCCACAGTGCATGCAGGGGTGCAGGACCGGGGCTGGGCGGGGCCCAGTGGCCCTGCGTGGAGGTGCCTGGAGTTGGCAGGTGAGTTTGGACGGGTGGCCACCAGAGAGTGACTCGTGAGGACAGCAACACAGGAACTAAGAGCGGCCTGGACTGCCGGGAAGCCTGCTGCCGGCCTACCCGGGGAGGTCCTGGTGCATCTCGGCGACACGGTGCACATGACCTAATTCTCCTCTATTGTCCATGCACAGGGTCAAGAGCAGTGCCCAGCATGAGGGCCTTCACGGTTAGTATTTGTGAAGTAGGTGCATGCTGCCCATCATCAAAGTGCTGCAAATGTAGACACAAATCCCACCACCAAGGCTGTCCACAGCTTCCCTCTCTGTTCTGTTCCTACAGCATTATCGTTGTGGGAATGCTAAGATACTTCAAGGCAGAATCACTTTCCTTAATGGTTGAACACAACTGTGAATACTCGCATACTCTACAGTCTTTAAAAGAGAATAAAAACAAATAAAACTATAGCAATTATATAGATATACACATACAAGGACGCGTATTCATTGTTGCATTATTTCTAACAGAAAAATCATAAACAATTCACATGTCTAATGTCATGTGGAGGAGCTGTGGCAATCTCACAAACCCAAATAATGTGCATCACTTAAAATAGTAAATTAGTTCACACAAAACAACAAGGTTATAGTTCTAGTACAATGCCAGGTACAAAGAACCCTTATAAAATGACGTGTTCAATATATATACAGCACACCACCCTATAAATTTTAAAAGCACATCAAAGAAAGTCATACACCACTTGGGATGCATGCATATGCAGAAAATGTGTAACAAAACTGCAGCCCGGTGTGAAGGCCCTGGGTGCAGTCCCCACGCACACACACAAATCCTGAGCATAAAGTGTCCATAACCACCTCACGCTGGAATTTGCAGATGGCAGGGATGAGATGGAAGCTGGCAGGGCAAGGGAACTTCAACTGCATCTGCACTATTTCTTCCTCAAAAAAAAACCAAACTGAAGCAAACATCACAAAATGTGAATGTTAATTAAATCAAGGTGGAATTTCCAATCTTTTTATTTCTATTTAATCATGCTGATAAAAAAAATTATACGCAGAGTGCAGGTAAATGCCAAACCTTAACTCTATAAAGTTTCCACTCGTGATTTTTACTGCCTCCCAGCTAATTAAGCAAAGGTGGGGGTGTTAAAGCCCGGTGCATCTCGGACCTGTGCTGGCGCTTCCATGGCCGCCCAGGTCCCGATGCGGGAGAGGCCGCACCAGGGACTCTGAGGGCCAGATCTGTGTCATTCTGGCCAGAGCTGTGATGTCTGTGGCACACCAGTGTCAGCGGGAGTCAGTCGTCTCCAAGCAGGCCTTGTACATGCTGCACTTTTTGCTCAAAACTAAAAATCTCTCTTGCCTTTCTGGATAATCCCCTCAGCCAGTGTGGTACACATCTCCAGGCTCTTCAGATGAAAGAATACATTTATTTAGGATGTTTTGCTCCAGGGATTTTCTCAGTAGACCAGCAAGGCAACTAATGGCTCCTGGGAGCCCAGCGGACAGACTGTGCTTTGCACGCAGCCTTGACGGTGCCTGGCACAGCCCGGGACCACTCTTCCCCGCCTTGCAGAGATGGGCTGCTGTGCTCAGATCTTGGCAGCAAAACTGAGACAGCGACCTGTGACTCGGGAAGTGCCGCTGAGGTTAAACACGCCATTGACCACCTTATGACCTAAGTACTGTGTATTATGTGTAAAATATCAACAAATTAATTTTGTCAGTTGTCTATAGTTTAACTGGAAAGTAAACTCATTGGTTGAAGCGTGGATGTGTATAGTAGATACATTGTAAGTACTTCAATTCCAAGGTTATTTAACATTGCTGAGATGAGCAAACACAGAGTTCATCTTTACTTCATCTATGACTTACTGCTTATGGTGCGGTGCACTGTTGGGTCTGAGAGTTAAAGTGAGGACCAAGACAAGGCCACTCTCCTCAAACTGCGAATACCTAGCAATTAACCGGGTCTGTGAGTGCAGGGTGTTGACCCGCACATAGCAGGGCACCTGCCTGGCCCGGCAGCTGGAGGCCAGGGGAGCCCTGCGGTGGGAGTGTGTGGGCTGATGCATTTGGAGCCTGGACAAGGAGTCAAGCAGAGGAAGAGGTGCAGAGAGAGGCCCAGGGACTGCAGAAAGTGCATTTTGGGCCAAACGTGAGGCCATCTCCTTGGCTTGAAGGGTCCCCGCTCTAGCTGGAACTCTCTGGAGCTCCTAGTCCACGCAGCTGACAGTGATGCTGGGCATCAGCCGTGTTTAATCTTAGACCTGACCATCTGCTCAGTGGCCAGCCCCTACCCTAGACCTACTACAATTTCTAACTATGTTTCCAAGACATTGCGATGACGTGACCACTCGGCCAGGCCAGTGGCTGTTCCACTGGAGCCCCTGACACCTGAGTGCAGGAGAGCCATGCACGGGCATTGTAGCTACCAGCCGAGCCTGCAGAGCTGCACAGGAAGGCCCTTGTGTGCAGAACCTCGTGGGCTCCTCAGAAGGAGGGCACCTCTGGCCTCCTTAGTCCCCTTACTCCGGCGCTGACCCTGAACTGGCCCAGCAGGGTGCGCAGCCGGGGGACGCACGAGGTGGGTGCTGACTGCCACCCAGGCTCTCAGTGGCAGAGCAGTCCCCAGTAACCACGAGGTCCAGGCCAGCCTGAGCGACCTAAGGAGACCTTGCCTCAAAAAAAAGGTTATAGTAAAAAACATGAGGCTGCAACATGTAATCACTCTAAATATACAGTGTAGTGCATCCTCAAGAACCTCACCCACCTCTTAACTCTGTCTCACAGGAGAAGAAAACCTGCTGGCCATTCTGCGCCGCAGATGGTGGAAGTACATGATCCTGGGCCTCATCGACCTGGAGGCCAACTACCTGGTGGTGAAGGCGTACCAGTACACCACGCTGACCAGCATCCAGGTACTGTGCCTGCCGCTGCCGCCGGACGCGTTTGATCCTGGAGTCTGGGCTGCTCCTGTGTTGACCTGGCGATAAGGGGCCAATGGGTGGTGTCAAACTGACTTGGGCTGCATTTCTTCCTCATTAATTTTTCTTAATGCGGGTATAATTGGACAACTTTTTCCTCTTTGTTCTGAATATGCCACGATAATCATTGATAATGTAGGAAAATAATTGATGGCTTTGAATGTTGCAACCCATCTCATGTCAGCAGAATTATTAGTAAGTGTAAAAATAAATTATTTTATCATAAGTTTTTAGAATGTGAATAGGCCAAGTAATCGAGCTGCTTTATAATTTTATCTTTTAGCTTATTTTTAATGTGTAAAATTTAGAATCTGAAAGGAAAGATGAGGGAAAAGGGTAAAACTCCTAAAGAGCGTCTTGCGTGAAAATAGCTGCGGAGTTCTGTCTTCTCCCTCTCACCTTCTTCTCCTCCTCCTCCTCCTCCTCCTCCTCCCTCTCTTTCTCCTCTTTTTTCCTCTCCTCCCTCTTCTTCCTCTCTCTCTCCTTCTCCTCTTTCTTCGTCTTCATCCCCGGTCTGTGTGTGTGTCTTTCTTGCTCACACATACTCACGACAGGAACACATGCACACATGCACACAAATGCAAGTTTAATCTAGTTTTTCAAAACTGCCAGAGATGTACACTCTTCATTACACCGTAAATGATAAGTTTTCCTATGTTTATGTATATATCACCCTCATTTTTCTTTGTACTGAAATATTATGAAGTTCACAACCATTACAAAATTCTAGAAAAAATAAACAAAACATGATTCACATATTAGATGTAGCTTAGATTCAATACTTCAACAAAATTTCTGCTATACTGTTATTTTCCTGGGAAAAATAATAAAAATGGATAAACAAGAAAACCGAGCACCTAAATAAATTTAGCGCTTACAAATCAGATGATCTAACCCTAATCTGACTTCCCTCTGGTCAGATTTGCACATGAACTTCAAAGATGAAGCCTCAGTCTGCTTTTCCTGCTATAATGAGGACCATGAGATCAGGTATTATAGTGACTGAAATTTCATCAGCTCACGGTTCTGGAGGCTGGAAATTCAACGTGGAGGGCCGGCGTGCAGCCGAGCTTCCTGCCGTATCCCTCCGTGGCAGAGGTGGAAAGCGAGAGGCCAGAGTGGGGGAGCGCACCCTTGCCTGGGGCACCAGCCCTGCCTGGAGCGTGGAAGCCTGGCCTGGCCTCACTCCTCGTCCAGCGGTCAGCGGGCAGTGAGACCACAGCCGGGTGGGGAGGGTGCGGAGCCGGGAGAGGCAGAAGACAGGAGCTGTCCCGGGACGTTTCCGTGTGCCTTGGAGCCCCTGGAAGAGGCAGCAGTGAGCTTGCCCCAAGTAGCCCTGCAGCTCTGCAGCTTCCCGCCGGGCGGCAGGAGCCAAGAGCAATGTGCTGAGGCCCAGCCCTGTTTCCTTACTGCTCGGCTCGGCTCGCTCCGGTAGGAAATCCTGTGGGGCTGCACACGGGGCCTCAGGCCTGGTCTCTTTCTTCCAGTTTCGAGTTCCACTTCTCCCAAAGTTGGCTTTATTATTCCTACTTTTTTCTTTTACATCTTTTCCTCTGGGGAAAAGAAATTCCCCAAATTCCCTATGCACAATATATAACATTCCTTTTGGTTAAAAAAATTTTGGACCTGCTTATTTGCATTAGCTCTTCTCTATATATCATCCGTGGTTCTCAGCAAGATTGTAAAGATCCTAAAAGCAGGATTATGGCTTCTTAAAAACAATTCATAAATCATCCTGTTACAGCATAATGCATAAAGTAGCACTGAGACATAAATGCATCATATATAAATATGGTTAACCTCTCACCGTAAGAATCCCTTACTTACATTTGCTTTGTCTTTTTTACAAGATCTCCCTGGATTTCCAAGAAAACACACGGACACAAGACAGCTGCAAACTCCAGAGGGGGAGGGCCACGGTCTTGTCCGCTCTGTGAGGGCGGCTGTCTGGTGTCTCTGGGCTCATGCTTCACACAGTGAAGCTGTCAGACCACAGACACTTTACACATTGCCCCTCAGTAGATGGATTTCATGAATAGGTAAATTTACCACAGATTTACTCTCTAAAGCCTTTTACATATTTTCAATGATAAATATACTGAGGTAAATTATGGAAGCCAAATCCTGGGGAGTGTTCTCTTCGTATACATCAACGCCATTGAGTCGCTAAAATCAATAACCTGAAGTTGCTTCTAGGAAAGCAGCTTTCTCTCTCCACATCTCTTTTCCTTTGTCTTATTTTTCTCCAGTTGGAAAGAAGGTGTAAGAATGAGCTGTCTTAATGCAGTGCCCAATAAACACCTTAAGTTTCACAGACACAACACATGGAAACACACACACACGTACACGCAGACCACTGCATCTTCTTTCTTTTTTCCTTAAATTCTTTTATTGGTCCATTTTAGGTAAACAGTACGTTTATATTTATCCTTGGGTGCTTGTACCCATACATGATGCATCTTGGTTCTTATTTTTTCCCCATTCCCCTGCCCTCCATTCACCCCCACCACCCTTCCCTATTTACAAAGATTTTGTTTCCATTTTTTCCTTTTCTCATAATTTTTCCTTTCCCTTCTTTCCTTTCCCCTACCCCTCCCACATCCCCTACCCCTTTGGACCTTTTCTTCCTAGTTCAAATTATCAATTATTCATTTTAATCCTTATTTACACTTTCAGTTTCTCACACCAGAGAAACACACCACTGTATTTTCATTCTGAATGCTTTGATCAAGCTTCTTGTAGGATTGGGACTATCCCTCTCTCCGCTAACCCTGCCCCAGGCCCTTTGCACACCCAGAATGCTTGCAGACCTGATGGGAGAAAGCCCACCAGAGACCACCTTTGAAGATAAGAACTTTATTGGCTCTAATAACTGGGCATCTGGGAGAAGGACAGTCAGCCTGCAGGATTGTTGGTCACATGTCTTTAGGAGTCACAGAAGCTCAGTTTCCATCTTCCCCTCTGAATCCTGCCGGCTGCACCCTAAAGTAGGCCCCTCTGGTCACACCATGACTCCAGCACAGTGGGGCCACCTGCTTCTTCTTCGTGACCAGTGATAGACGGAAAAGATGCTGGCCACACCACTGAGCAGGAGCCCAGTGCTGCCTTCTGACTGAACCATGCTAATTGCTAGAAGAATGCTGGGAGTCCACTGGCTTAGACCTGGACGCTCTGAGCCAGCAGAGTGAGGTTTCTCTCCTTGGCTTAGGCAGGTGTTTCTTTACAGGCTACCACTGACATTTGGAGTGAGGCAGCCCCAGTCCCAGAGGCAGGAGGGGATCGGTGCCGGGATTCACATTCCTGTCACCATGGAGGGAAGGGCAAGGCAGACGGATGCAGGAGGAGCAGCCACAACGGGTCCACACCCACTTCAGCCACACTCACTCCCACATCCCAGAGGCCCCTCGCAGAGAGTGGATTCCTCCCTCTCCCTCTCTCTCTCTCCCCCTCCCCCCCACTCCCTCCCTCCCTCCTGCTCTAGCATTGCTCTGGCTTTAGCTCTCCACAGTCTCTTACCTGAGAACAGCATCTCCTCACCAAGCTGTGTGTGCTTTCACAGCAAGGTCAGTGTCTCGTCCGCCTCGGGGTCTCTGGTACCAGCACATCTGAGATGATAAATGTTTAAGGACTCTGTAGACAGATGAACAGGAAGAGCAGTGTTTGCAAGTGACCAAGCTGGTCCAGGGGCCAAGAGGTAAACCTGAGAGGCCCAGGGGAAAACAGGACTGATTTCCTCCCGGAAATATATTTGACTTTCTCTTTACATTTCTTTCTATTTCATTCTGTTGAGCATTGAAAAAAATCACAACCACTTGCTGGTTTCTTAACTTCTATGACTGTCCCAGAACAGGTTCCCAGGCCGTGTGTGTGCAGGACAGTGACAGTCTGATCCTAGCATGGGTCCCAAGCCAGGTGCGGAGCTCGGTGCAGGCTGCACAGACCTTCGTCAGTCTCTACCCTTATCCAGCCTGCTGCCTCCCAGATTCGCTGTGGACACCGTTTAATGCCACATTCTAGGAAAACGTCTAACTATCATGTGACAGAAAAAAGTAAAATCCCAATGGAACATCAGCTGATCTTTACTGAACAGGAATAAGGGAAGTAAAGGAGCAAGTTGACCCTAAGGGTTCTGGAACCATTTTGACACCTATGATAAATAAATTGATTAAATAATAATAAATGGTCCAAACAGCAGGCATTTGCTCTGGGAACTGTATCTGTATTGCTGTTAGTAATTTAATTGTTTCCTTATTGCAAACTGGTAAAGCTAATAAGAACCGACGACAGTGATTGTCCCTCCTTACGAGGGGGTCCATGGAGCACACAGCCGGTGTTAAGATCAGAAGGTGAAGCCCCCTCACCAGGAACCAGGAAACACACTGCTTACTGCAGATGGCACCAGATGCAAGCAGCCTCGAGCTCTGGGAACGTGGGCTGGTAGGGAGAGAAGGGACTCCGTGTAAGGAAGTCAGGCTGAGCACAACTGGGGGACAGACTCCACCTGGGAGAATTTTCCAAGGTGGCAGAAATAGTGGTTATTGGCCAAGTGGGAAAGTGTCTGTTCAGTGCCTCTGGATAAAATGTGGGGAGCAGAGAATGTGGGGTGACCTCGCCCATGGAGGCAGCAGCATGAGGAGCCCAGGGCAGCAGAGCGATTGTCCTGTCCAAGCCACCGTCACTCCTTGTGTTGAACACACTGTTAGGTGACGGTCACTCTTGGGAGCCTTGGTGGTTCACAGGTAAGCCGGCGATGCACCGCTGGGGTCAGGGAGAAGCCCTCTGCAGCTCCACACGGTTCTGGGGAAACCTTTGTCAAAAGCCCACAACATAACCCAGGGTTTGGGGAGATTTTCCTGGAAATGGAGTGTGGGGGTGGGATGGGAAGACATCCGGCAGGAGCAGGCATGGCCAGGCCCTGGGCAGGTGGACCACGG